ATCTTGATTTGATAATGATCCCAATACATAACCTTAAATGAGTACCAATGAGTAAAATGAGTAAAACCAATACCTTAAATAAGTGAAGTCCACCAAAGGCCTGATGAAAGAATCATCAATGACTGATGATTATTTAAAGTAATTACAGCCTTAATGTAAAATGGTATGCAGGTCCCCGAGAACAAATTCTCTATTATCCACTATACTGTGGGGTGTCACTGTTACCAACAACTCATTGTTGCCTGCTATTATACATAAAGGCAAGTTACATATTTATATAATTCTTTTTACAGCTAGAACATTTCAATAATAATATATTACTCACTCATAATGTATATATGAGATTTCAGATATACTGCCAATATAAAATTTTACATCCTAAATAGAATTTAATGTAATCTCTACATATAATAAAAGAAAGAGTCTGTGTGTGCGTCTTTCGTTCGCGTTGCGCGTAAGCTAATAGACCCACGGCTACGAAATTTGGTACTTAGGTGCATCTAGACAAGAGCCAGTGCACCTCGAAGCGATTTTTTCGAAATTCGAATTAGAATTTTTTTTAATTTTATGTTTTGTGACGAAATCGCCTCATTTTGAGACATAATGGGCTATAGGAAAGCGAGATTTTACTCTACATACTCCATTTTCACATCGTCATTAAACGTAGGCACTTAGCTATTTTACGAACTTAAAATAAATTTCGTGTTTCAATAAATCGATTAAATACGAATTTAATTAACAAAGTGAGCTTAACACCTTTTCAACGGGATTTCTTCTAAAAAAGTTTATTTTTAAAAATGTACAGTTTATTTTTCTTTGATTTTTGGACACGTTAAACTTTCATCCTTTCGACTGCTTTTACAAAAAGAATTTTGGAAAAAAAAAAAAGCTTTTACAAAAAATTTTGGAAAATAAATTTTGTATTTTAAAAAAAAAATAAATGAAGTTTCCGAGTACACATCTCACATCTTTAAAAATGTGATTTTGGCAACAATTTTCCTTTCTTATTTGTTGTTGATAGATTTTTGATGAAATCGCATCATTTTGAATAGTTTCATTCTTTTAGAAATATGGGTTGGGCAACAATTTTTCATTGTATTTCTTATGTCACTGTTTTTTAAGAGATTGGCATATTTCATTATATATATATATAATACATTTTTATTGATTTTTTTTTATTAAGTCGGTCTGCAGAGTAAAATTCTGCGCGAAATTTTTTGAATTTCTTTTATGTTATCTTTTGCTTATTTCCCTGTTTGTAAGATATTGAAAAGTTTTGCATGATTTTTTTCCTTCAACGGAAAGTTGGTTAATTTTTTTATATGTAATATATTTTTTTAAAAATTTGTGTTTTTTTTTTTTTCGGAAGTTTTCTGGAGTGTAAAATTCTGCGCAGTTTTTAAATTTAACGTTTGGTGTCCCCTTCAGGTATTTTTACGGTACATTTCATATCAATAGCAAGTAAGCCAGACGAAGGCTGGCAGCGTAGCTGCCAGTAATTGAAATAAAACTTTTTAAGTTGTTGTTTCAAATAATGTCAAAAAAGAAAATTGTATGGATTTGCACAACTGAGTTCGCTGTAATTCTAGCTGTGAAATTAATAATTTTTTGCTCATAGATATTTATTTTATAGTAGAAAGCGATAAAAAATACTACACTTATGCGTATTAATTAAAATTTGATTATAACAGCCACATTATTAAAACACAACATGATGAAATTAATAAAAATTGGTGCTACTTTGGTAGATGGTTGCACGGATTTTTGGCGCTTTACGTTGGCGCTGTTTTTACAGTGGTCAGCCATCTTGAAAAATGCTGGTTTTACGTATTGCACGCATAGTAAAGTATTTGAAACTTTAAAAAAATTAATATCGTTAAAAATAATGGATTAATTTTTTATTGAAAACGTTTTTAAGATGACTGGCAAATGTAAATAAAAACATTTACTAAGAGTATAAATGCTAAAGTAAGGTACTTAAATGCTAAAGTAAGGTTAAATTATTACTTTCATATAATAGAATAAAAACACTGCTATAAAAACAGTGCGCCAACATTTAATTGGAATAAAATATTATTTAAATTGAATATTAAATTGAAAACAATTGAATATTAAAAGAAGCAATTAGCGAGGTTTCCTCCAAAAATTTAAAATAAATTTCCTTTGATCCTTGTAACAATAAATAAATCTTTGATTAGGAAAGTCAGGTTGGCCAAAATAAGGTCTCAAAGCGCAATTCTTTTATTCTGATACCAATAATTCTTGGGTAATTACCAATAACATACAATCATCTTCGAAACGGACACATCCATTCCATTTGAAATCTGAGGAATTCGAAGAGATGAGCCCACCAGCGGCCGAGCGGTAAAGTCGTTGAACACTGGTAGTTCGGTCCGAGGTTCGAATTCCGCGAACGGGCTGGCTGCATGGGCGTTTTCGTGGTTTTCCCCATATGTAACGTGTATACAAGCCAGTTTTCCTTAGAAAGTCCTCCACGAAGGCATCCCTCCCCCTTAGGCAGATAGCCCTCGAGGCTTTGCAATTATCACACTCACTCACTCGAAGAGATGAATAATAAAATTTTAAAATGGCGCGGTAATGCACAAATATTCAGTAACCAATCAGGGAGCTGATTACATCACGCATAGAATTAAAATTATTTAAAAAACCATTCATAATAAAATCATATTTAAAAAATGCAAGATTAAATTGCATTTTAATATTTAACAGCCATAAATAATGTTTAAAACATTAGATTAAATTTATAGACATTAAAGCAATTACTTTTAAAATAATGTGACGTTATTTCATTACATCATTCACAACATAAAATTCCATAAACAATAAAATTTTTATTAAAAAAATGCAAAATTAAGTTCATTTTTATTATTTAGAAGTCATTGTTGTGGTGATCCACGGTTTGAAAATGGTTTCTGAATCAGAAGAGATTCGTGCACTAACCTAGTGCTTCGCATTAGAGAGTAAAGAACATCTATGATATAAAAATATACTTTTATTTACACAGCGAAAACGCGCAGCAACATTATTAACGAAAGCTCATTCTCCTAATAACATACTTCTTTTTACACTCCGCTTGCGCATGCGCACTGACAATTACCAAATTAGCTTGGCAGATACTGCCATCTGTTGGATAAACTATTCGCTACAGTCATAAATAATATTTAAAACACGGAATTTATGCATAATAACACGCATTTATTTTTAAATAAAATGACAACAAAGTATCGGTTACCATTAATAACTTGTCCAGCAATGGGTTTACCATAAGTCGCCTTGCTCGCCAAAAAAAATCACCAAAATCCGTGCAACCGTCTACCAAAGTAGCACCTAAAAATTTACCGGTATAGCATGTTCTATGGCACTGCAATTAATAAGAGACAATTGTCTTGGTGTTAATGTTTTTGCAAATAAACAGCTCTTGCATGAATTCAACTATTTCAATAATTTAGAAAACTATTCATGAACTATTAACAAATATTTACATTATTATGTTTACATTTTAAAGTTTGGAAAAAATTATTCAAGGTCTCGGGAATATTTTTCAGCTATTGATATACACTTAAAATTCCGGCTAAAGTGCAGAATCGCCCACTTATTTGATTGGCGTTTGTTTGGCGCTTTTGACAAGAGTAAAAAGAATTTTATTTTGGTCAATTTTCTTTGACTTTTTAAGTGAAAATAGGTCGATGTGTACCTGGATAAAGTCAAAGGAGTGCGCAATACCATTTTTTTTGCAATTCTCGGATTTTTTTTTTTTTTTTTTTAGTCCAAAGGGATTTGAATCCCGAAGGACTATTAGTTTCGTTTTGGCATTTTGCGTCGGACTCATAAATGTCGGTTCACTTTTCAAACTGTTGCCACAAAATGTTAGAGTCCTGCATTATATTTGAAGAAATTAAATAATGAAAAATCTGCATAATGTATGTATATTTCTCGTATTGTGATAAAACAACGGTACATAGAGTCATCGAATTTTGAATAACGTAATCCTCCAACGAATATGAGCATGTGGAAGACCAAATTTGAAATTTGAAATTTGTTTTATGATCGACTTCCTATTTTTTAAAACTTTGACGAATTTTTGATTAACAAACTCAAGGATTTCAAAGCGAGCAATGGCAACGTTGTGCAGGAAAAACATTTTTATCTCCAGCGCGTGAGTCTCTGTTTCGGAAATTCTAAAGATATGCTCGTTTTAAAAACTATTTTGCGATATTGCTGTTGCACTGGATCTTATGGTTTAAGTGCGAGGAACATGATATTTAATAAAGAAAGGTAACACACAAAATGTTAAAAAACGCCCCTTTGGACGTAATTTAAAATCTGAAAAATTTCAGATTTTTTTTTTTTTTTTTTTTTTTTTTTTTTTTTTTAAGTGAAAACAGATTTATGTGTACAGGGATATCGAGTATGTGCAATTCTTAAAAACGGGCCAAGCAGTGGGCGATTGTGCTCTTTCCCCAAAATTCCTAATAAAGTAAAACATGAATATTGGTAAGTATTGTGCATAAAAGGAAATTTATGAATCTTACCTCATTTTCTGCAGAAATTTGCACAGACGTTTTGTAGTTAATTGTTTTCTTCATTTCTTCTTTAATACAGCTTCCTACAAGTACCTTACTATCTGACATTACTTTAAAACAAATGTTATTCACATGTTTGTCCTTGAACGAGAGAAGATCCTTTTTATTGACATCAAGAAAAGAAAAATCACTTCCAAGAGTACTTTTTTAATTTTTCGCAATAGCTGTAAATTTCTAAATTAGAAAAATCAATTAATTTTAGTTGTACATCTGCTATAGACTCTACCGTTAACTGCGCACGTGCGGAGATTGTCGCACTATTCTAACCTCCTTGGATTGTCGTTATTAAACCACGTGACCACTTTTTTCTTCTTCTTCTCTTGCGGAATGTATCTCATTAAGCCTCAGATTCTGATTAAAGATCAGACACTTTTATGAGTTTGAGGAGTGGCAGTAACTTGCGCGTGGCCTAAAAGTGGGAAAGGTGCTGTTTTTGTTGTACTAAGTTGGGTGTAGAATTAAGGAATTAACTGAGTGGGATATGAGCATGGGTGAAAAAATATGCGTATTAATTATTCATCAGGTACAAAGCACCATATATGAATTTTATTGGTATCATCTATTATACGCATGAACTTAATTTTAAAAATTCCTAATGTGGGAGATGTTAATCCGTGTAGAAGTGTCTTTTCTGATCCTATTAGTGCTGGATAGTTGATGGCTGTAACCCAAACTGAAGTTAAGTTACAAAAGCCTAAAAATTATTTTTCTGTAAAATTATGTCCAGATGTAAGTCTACAGCGAGGTTGATTCCAGCCACTTGTTCGTGGACATTGCTTATAGCTACAACAGCTTCATTTTTTGTTTTCCCGTAAGTATATAATTTCATCAAATACACCACGATTAGAATGTAAACATATGTAATTTGTTTTGGATTAAATAAACTAGATGTTTATTTCGATTTTTATTCCTTGAAAATTTGCAACTTGGGTACATAGTAAACTTATTTTTTCTCCTGTGCAATCTGTCATACATCATAGAAATATTGTGGAAAAGTTCTGTTGCCTTTGATAAAAGCAGTTTGAAATATAGGGTGATAACATTTTGAGATGTAAAATTATTTCGCAGTTCCTTAAAAAAATATTATGATAATTGATGGCAAGTTTTGTCTTTAATCTTTGATGCGCTGTGAAGACGAACGTTGTCATGATTGGTAACTATTCAAGAAGGTACTAAAATTTTTACTGACAATTCACTTATAATGCTTAATTACAAAAATTGTTTTTTACTTCAGTAACGTAAAATAGATATAAACTGAAGTTCATTAAGAAATTAAACCAGTTTCAGATGTTTCAGTGTTTTTGAAGAATTAAGAGACAAAGTTGTAAACTCAGCTCTAACACTTCAAAACGTACTAGAAAGTTATAAATTAAGCCTAAAACACTAAATCTTATATTATGTGGTATTATGGTAATAATCACAATAAATTAGCAAAATTAATGATTAACATTTTCTTTAATGTCAGTAGAGTAGATTTTAAGATTGATGCATTTCTAGGTTAAATTCTTCCAGATGTAGATAATGTAACGTAATGTCACTATATTAAACATAACTAAGGTGTATGAAATATGTGAGTTGGTAATTATCTGCCAGTAAAATTCTTGCTTTTTTTATTCCCACACTACTAAAAGAGGTAGCTTCTGAGACTTCTAAACTATAATTTTATTTAGTATAAAAGTGAAACTGTTTAGATTATCAATATGCTTGTGATAATATGAGGTTTAAAATGTTTTTTTAAACTAAAAAATGTAGGCAAGCATTTTATAATTTTTTTGTATTTATTAACTAGTATTTTAAAGAAATTGATCGAATGCAGATGTAATGGAGGGGAAATATAATTTAATGATCCTTAAACATATTCTGGAGGTGTGTGTTTTAAATATTAGTTCATCTGAACTGTAGTTTAATATATGAAGATAATTTTTTTCATCAAGTAAAATATTTATATACACTGTCTCTCTAAAGTTACTGCTTACTAATATTAAATCGACTACCTAATTCATTGATTACAACAGTAAGGAATGTAATGACTATATTATATACACATCATAAAATAATTGAAAATAAATTCAATATAAACACCATACTACGTTTTAGAGAACACAAAAGCAATCAATCAGTTGCTGTTTCATAAATTGAAAATCAAAATGTGTATTTTAAAAGGTTTTAAAGGGTCTTGTTTGAATTTAAACAAGTTTGAAGTCACCATTAGAAACCGTTCAAGTCTCTTGCAATTTTTTAAATATTTTTATTGATAGTGGCAGAAACCCCCCTCCCCCTTTTTTTTTATTCTATCTTCTTTATTTTATTATAATTTTTTCAACATTTTAATTGTAATTTTTAAAATTTAAATTTAGATTTTAACTTGGATGGGTTCAATTTTTTTCACTTACGAGTAATTCTTTAATTTTATTGACTTTTCAATGTGTCAGTAAGTTTTTGAATAAAAAGGTTTGGTAAAAATATATTTCAGGGTACCTCTTGGTCATTCCTGTTTACGTCCAATTCTCTTCCCAGTAAATTGGTGTTCAAAATGTAATACAATAAAACATAATTAAAGCAAAAAGTATGTAATCGCAATAAACTGCATTCTAAATCAAACAATGAAGTTACATAAAGAAGGAAATGCATGTTATCTCAACTATGCACTTTAAACAGGAAATATCGACTTACTTTATTTAGAAATTTCTGTGGCACACGAAATTCCTTAACAGCATCCCAAAACTTTCTAAAACTAACTGAACTAGAATCTACATACTGCTGTCGCCACATAAATTCACAAAAATAATAGTAAAAAATATCCTCCTTAGTGCCGGACTGTCAGTGCCATTTTTTTGCATGAACTTTTCTTGCGACAAAGCCATCTGAACAATCTTTTTGTTCGACCATACGCATTTTCTTTGTACAAACAGGATACTTATAATGAATACCAAGTAAACCTTCATTTTACGTGTTAGTCAATTAATGCTTTTTCTTCTTTTCGTTGCAAATTGTACAGAACCTTCAGATTAATCTTATCACATGCAGCAATTTTACAGTGTAAAGCACAAAATAAGCAACGTACTTCCTAACCAACATCTAACACATGAATAAGCCCTTACAAATATTTTCCCCATCAGTCAAATTTACCACAATCATGCAACCAATCACATCATAATAGGGTTTCCATAACATTCAACTACTTAGGTTACTATAAATAAAACAGCTACATGACAATAAATGAAACAAGAACTGGGTGATAATCCAAGGGGCACACTAAAATGTAAGATTTCTTTGCATTTCAAAATTCTTTGCTTTGTAGCATTAATTCACCTTTGGAAGATGGCTTGTTGGTTTTAGTTTCAGCAAAGAAGCCAAACTGGCAACCCTTGATGTCTCAGATTCTAATGGAATTTTTAAGTTTTTTTATTGTTTCACATTCGTGTTTGATAAGAGGTTCTCACAAAGTTTTATGTTAATATTATTTTGAAATTTCAAGGATTTTTTTTTCACTGTGGGATTTTAATTTTGTCTACATTTTAAGAGTAAATTTTCATTTTTATTAAAGATTCGTTTTAGACTTAATTAAAAATCTTTTTAAATTAGAAGATATTTATAATTGTATTTTTGCCATTTTTTTTTACTTTAAGGAGGACCAGAATTTTAGGGTCAACAATTGAGATTTAAAAATATATTAAAATGTTTCATCAGCTAATTCTGGCTATAGCAGTTGATTGGATTTCTCTTCTGTTCTTTTATATTATTTTGTGAATTTTCTTATGATATTCATTTTAATTTTTACATTTTAAAATATTCTACATTTATAGGATTTTGTGAAGTTCATTTGAATTTCAATGTTTGGGTTTTGTGAAAAATTTGTTCTAAATTACTTTATATATATGTGCATCTGGAATATATATATATATATAAAATTAAGACTCTATATTAAAAGAAAAAGAATTAATGTATTATATTTGAGAAAATAGCTCTTTCTTATGGCCATTATGTAAAATTTGTGTTTCAGAACAAAATGAATGCTTGGAGAGTTATATTTGCTTGTTATGTGTTGTTATGTCTATATATTAATTTTCTGGATTATTTAATCCAGAAATAATGGATTATTTAACCCTTTGCGGTACAGTGTGTCCGGTTTGGACACTTATGAAAATTTCCAGTACTATTCGGTTTTGAGGGCCGTAAACAATCATCAAACTGTTGTTGATGCCAGTGCTGCCAAAAATAATTCCGGCAACTCTAATGCAAGAAAGGAAGTATAATAGTAAATAACTATTTAAGATTGATGGTTTAATTTAGATGAAAGGTTAATTTCATATAATACTTTTTTATTACTATAATTTATATAAAAAAGGCTAAACATGACTGAATGGAAGCATAATAGTAAATAACTATTTCAGATCGTTATTATAATTTATATAAAAATTGCTAAAGATAACTGAATGGATGCCTGCATCTCATTTTCGCTACCGAGGTATCGCTAAAGCATAATTTCATCTCGTTGGTGGTTCAAACATAATTTTCTATAATGAATGATGCTTTTTCTTTGAAAAAATTCTCGGTAATGTGCAGAATCGCCCACTTATTTGTTTGCTGCTTTTTACAAGGGTAAGAACAATTGGATTTTTGTCAATTTTCTTTTACTTTTTAAGTGAAAATAGGTCGACGTGTACATAGATAAAGTCAAGGGTCTGTTAAGTGCTCTTTTTGTGAAATTCTAGGAATTTTTTTTTTTTTTTTTAAGTCAAAATAGGTTGATGTGTACATGGATACCGAGTATGTGCAATTCTTAAAAACGCGGTACATGGATACCGAGTATGTGCAATTCTTAAAAACGCGTCAAGCTGTGGGTGATTCTGCACTTTACCCAAAATTCTATTGCAGACTTTTCGTCATGGGCAATTCCCAAGTTGTTAAATACATAGGATATCAAAAAAGGATTTAAAAATTAAACTAATATTTCAATGGTGTCTTAAGAAATATAGAACTATATAATCTTATGCAATTTGAAATCAGCGCGTACGCTAGATTTGGTGCGCTGTTAAATGGGCGCGTTTGCTAGATTTGGCACTTCTGCGCATACATTTTCACTGCAACTTTTTTACAGTTCTCAAAACAGAACAGTACCAAATTTCCTTCTGTACGCACGGAAAAATTGAATGAAAAAGGATTTATAGGTTACTCTGAATCTTCTTTATTTATAGTAGATGGCAGCTCAACACAAACCAGTTCATATATTTTAGCCATGTTTAGTTTTTTAAGACCCTCATTTTTTAAAGAAATCTTCCAGATTTTTTTTAGGGTATAAAAGGAATTATTTGAAAAAAAATTCTATGTTATTTTTTTTGGCTGTATGCTAATCTCCTTATTCTATATTAGTTTTAAATTTTTACCTTGAAATCTTGCCTAAAATCAAACTGCAAACCTTAGATGTGCCCAGACCGGGCTCACCGATAATCTAGGACAACTGAGAGTCTGTATTCTTTGTTTCTCTGCATCTCATCAGTCAGTTCTTTGACAACAATGCTCGTTTCAGCACTCTCTTCAATCAAGGTGTCCACTTTGGGCACACCTACAGAATTAAACGATAAGTGCTATCTTCACAAAATTTTACTTTTGTACTTCTTTAGGCCTAATTAGAGTGCCTACTTTTTTTTTTTTTTTTAAATTAAAACTCCAACTTTAAAAGGTAGCGTGCCGGAAAGGCTTACATCTTTTTTTTTTTTTTTCCCCTGACAGTGATTGTCTTACATGAAATAAATTAGGGATTATGAATTTGATATAAAAGTGTAGAAAATAAAAATTTTTATAATTAATATTATTTTGTTGCTTGTGCTTATTTAATTGCTGTTGTATTTTATTTTTTAGATGTCCATACTTGATGCAGGAATACCATATAGCTATTCCAATATGTCAAGCATTAATTACGTTTTTTGTGGTGGTCAACTTTTCTCTTGCTACTTTTATGGATCCTGGTATTATACCTAAAGGTATCTTAGATCTAACACCTTTATCTTATATGTTGTGAATGGTTTAGTGCTCATCAGTGTAAAAAAAGTGAATAATTTAAAAAGCAGGTTTATCTGCAATTACAAATAATATTTTGCAATAATATTTTTTATACTATTAGTATATTTCTCGGTACTGTTCTGTTATTGGAACCGGATTCAGAAACCTATGAACATGTGTTTGTATGTATACATATATATACGCATACATTCATACTTGCATATATACATGCATACATTTCTGAACCCGGTCCTGATAATAGAACAGTACCTATTTCTAACATTGTATAACAATTAACAAATTGCAAATTGGTCATGGCAGTGTGTGCTGTTGCTTCATCTAGCTGAAAATATGCATGCAGTCGTTCATCTTTAGTGAGTTGATCCATAAATGGATTAGACTAATTCTAGACATACTGGTCAGCATTAACAGTTTGATGAAACAATCGTGTTATGATGCTGAATCTAGACATTGCACACCAAACACCATGCTTGAGAGTATGCAAGGGCTTTTCAAATACTCATGGGGATTTTCTGATGCATAATAAATAGTGTGTGTTGAGTTCACATTACGAATGGGAAAAATTTGCTCAGGTAGTTCAGGCACATGATGGGTTTAATCCTAGTATCCGGTGCACACAGGATTTGGCTACTTTTGGCGACTTTATGATGAGCAGTAAAAACCCGACATATGCGGTGAGTAGTAAACAGGTCATTCAAAGAATATATATGGTTATACATAGTATATACTATATATATATATATATATAGTGTATATACTATGTATATACACACATAGTATATATTGTATAGTATATATATATATAGACATTCTTTGGATCATTTTTGGTGTTGGCGATAATTTTCAAAATCGCGCCAAGGCTGCACTGTATACTAGGATTTTACCAAAGGCTATAAACACAGAAAATGCAAAACCATGAAAGATTGGGTAGAATGTGGTGTCAACTGATACACAGACAGAGCACGTATGTGTAAGTGAGTGATGTTATTTATAGGAAAATGAATTTACACAGTGCTGAAATATACAGGAAATCAGTAAGATGTATGATAACCTCTCACAGCAATGCTAGCTGCGACACTGTGAGGTACAGATTCAATTAGTGTGCAGATAAATGTTCTGAGGGACAGAAGCCCAAATTACTCCTCCAAAGTACTTCTTTCGATAACGGTTGGGTCAGAGCAGACAAACAATGACCATTCACGTTCCAGAATTGTTCGATCGGCAAATGATCAGAGGACATCTCAGGCCAAGCAAGCAATGAGACATGCTGTAAGTCAGCTAACAAATGCCAGATGCTGTGTTGCATTGTCATGCTGGAAAGTACCATTTTACAGCCACTGAGGGTAAGGACTACTGTTATCATGACTGATGGCACCCCAAACCATTATGCAATGTTGACAAATGGCGTGGCATTTAGCAAAAGTAGTCAAACTAGCTCTGTCTTCCTAATGCCTCCAAACAAAAACGAGACTCGTTAATTCCATCTTCTGCCATTCAGATATCAAAGCGGCTCATTGATGACACTATCACAATCTTTTGTGTCAATGGTTTGGCATTAATGACAGTCTTTGCAAAGGGTGGCTCATGTGCAAGCTACTTTCAGCCAAACACCAGGAAACTATTTCCCTAGATATTGGAAGATCCAAAGCTCCCTGCACGTTGTGCAAATTGTTCATAGTAATTGATATAGTAGTCGCCAATGCTTCTCTTCTTACACATCAATCTGTGCATTCTGTAGTACGTCTAGATGAAGATGGGTTGTTGTGACTATTTATGTTCTTTTGATTGATTCATCTAGACCAGATTACATGCACAGTGGATACATTTACATGCACTTCAGCCGTGATACGATGCTATCGCTGCTGAACTAACTGGATGTAAGCCTACAATTTGTCCTCTCATAAAATTGTCCATTTGCTGGAAGTGCATAAGATGTCATCATCCTAGGCATCTCCCATTTACATGTGTATTTTGAAATATTGAACTTCTAAATTTTTTTTATTCTGTAAGCAGCAGAGAGTAACGACTGTTGGTTCATTTGCAGTTTTCTTACCTTTTATCTTCCACTGTAATCACGTGACCAACTTGCATCTTATATCATTTGCATGACTGGTTCCACTATATATTCTCCGAAATTTGCATATTTATATGACTGAATCTTAATGATGCATTTTTATGCTGGGCAGCGTAAAATCTATGCAAATTTCTTACACATGCATTTAAAACACTGTGTCACATATGGTCCTACACACACGTTTGGTCAGAAGCCGTTGAAATCACAAAAATATTTGAAAATATCTGTGACTTTTATCACTTTTGCATATCTTATGCTTTTAATCAATAAACTGATGACCTATCCTCTAAATGTACATGGATGCTTAGATAATGGATGATGCTTGCTTTTCCACTAAGGAGTCATCAGCGTGCTTAATTGGGTACACTGTATAACTCATGTTCATTATACTGGAAGAGAAGTAATTCACTTGGTAAAATAAATCAGCAGTAATCTTCACAACATAACAAATTTTATATTTAACAAAAATTACTGGGATTCATGCATGTATGTGAGCACCAGAAAACCCACACTAGCTGAGATACAGATGAGGTTACAGTAACTAAGTGCAGTTTCTTTACAGTTAAAATTACAGTTTTAGGTATACGAAATAATTCAATTAATAAGCAGTTAGAAAGTAAGTAACAGTTCAGAAGTTCAGTTACTGTTAAACTGCTGCTCAGATTTTATAAATTTTGTTCGTTTTTGTTAAAAAATAAATAAGAAGAGTTAGAAATATTTCTACTGAGAATAATTGCTTTGTTTGGGAATATATTTTTATGTGCACAGTTTTCTCCCTCAGTTGAGAATTAATTTTAAAAAAAAGCTCCAATGACCGATGAATATCTGGAATCCCTGATGAAGATAATTTCTGGTAAATTTTTTTTGCAAGGCTACGGAATTTATCAGAATCAAAATGCCATCAAGTGTTAAGCTGTTGTAAGAAATAAAGAAGATTGGAGTTATTTTCATAAAATTATATGTATTTTTATCTATGCATTGAAGAAAGTTTGAATAAATAAGATAGAGAAATTAGATTATTGTTTTTTTATTCTCAAGTTTTGTCCCACTTGAAAATATATTTTGAAAACTTAGAAAATTTTCATAATTTACTTATTTTTAGTTTAAGTAATTTATTTAGTAGTTAATTCAGGGCTGGATTAGCCATTAAGGAATATAACACATGCTTAGGGAATCAGGAAAGTGGGCACAAGATACAGTCAAAAGTCTTTAATCCGGAATGATCTATAATCGACCTCAAAGCTACAAACTTTCTGAGCATGTGTAAACACGTTATGCGTTTACGCATGCGCATAATACCTTTACGCATGCACATAATACATTTACGCATGTGCATTTAATGTATAACGGACGGTATAAGCTAAGCTAAAATTATCTATATTAGTTAATGTTGCAGATTGCGTTGTTCCTTAATCTTCTAATTGGATCCAGCTTATTATTTTTTACAGGCTGCCAAAGAATCTACAAAGCAAAAGCATGTTTCAATGTCCATCAAACAAAAAGTGGAATTGCTGCAAAAAAATGGATAAAAGCATATCCTTTGTTTCTCTAACCATTCCGAAATCTGTTTATCAATTTCACGCTGCTCTGCGGAGGGGGGGGGAGGAAGTTGTGGCACGCAATGAACTGGGAGTTGATCTGTCAGCACTATCCTTATCTTCAGGGCAGATGATTTTACTTTATTCGGTTCATAATTCCTTACTAAATGTAATATTTCATCTCGATGTACTCCGTCTTTGATATGATTTAAATCAAATTCCTAGTCATTATAAATATCACGAATACACATCAAATAGTTTTCTGGTTGCAATTTTCGAATTTCAACTATGCATAATGTATGCTTTACGCATGCACGCATTGAAAGAAATGTTTAATAAAGTAAACAAATAAATATTAAGCTTTTTTTTTTTTTTTTTTTGTAAATTTTGATACCCTTTTGATCATAATTGCTCTTTATTTCATAAATTACGGTTTCATATTTTTAATTGTATAATTTACTGCATGCCATCTTACCAGATTTAAATTGATGATCTATAATCCGGAATCGCCGAAGTCCCGACGAGTCCGGATAAAAGACTTTTCATTGTATTTCCCATTGCCAGTTTTACCATGAAATGGTGCAGCTAAACCAAAACCTAAAGAGAGAAGGAGGAATGAAGACAAAACTGGCATAAATATCTGTGGCATTAAAATCTTTTAAGTGCTTAGGGCTTCTAGAAGTTCATATCCAGCCCTGAATTAATTCAACATATAAGAATTATCTAAAATAAATATCAGTCTGAAAATTTAATGTTTAGCTGTCAGTGCATTCGAATTACAAAGTGTAACCAATAGAAATATCTTGCAGGTACCAATGTTTTGATTTCAAATAAAAAATAAGTTACTATTCCGTTTTGAGGACCGTAAAAAATCTCCAAACTATTGTTGATGATGCCAGTGCTGCCAAAAGTAATTGCAGCAACCCTAACGCAAGAAAGGAAGTATAATAGTAAATAACTATCTAAGATTATTGTTTTAATTTAGATGAAAGGTTATTTTCATATAATACTTTATTATTATTATAATTTATATCAAAAAGGCTAAACATAACTGAATAGAAGCATAAGTAAATAACTATTTCAAATCATTATTATAATTTATATAAAAAAAAGACTAAACATAACTGAATGGATTCTTGCATTGCTATTTCACTACCAAGTTATCGCTAAAGCATAATTTCATCACGTTGATTGGTCAACCATAATTTTCTATAATGAATGATGCCTTTTCTTTGAAAAAATTCTATTGCAGACTTTTTGTCATTGGCAATTCCCAAATTGTTAAATCCATAAGATATCAAAAAAGGATTTAAAAATTAAACTAGTATTTCAATGGTGTCTTAAGAAA